TCCGCTTCGGCGACACCGACCAGTTCGGCCCGTACTACATCCGGCCGCCTCCGTACCTCATCAACTTCTGGGGCATCTCCTCCCTGAACCTCTTCTGGACCAAGGACGCCAGCATCGAGCCTGTTGGCGTGCGTGACATCTACGCCGCGGGCTTAGCCATGCAAGGTCATGCGTAACATTCACTCCCACAGCTGGTTACGCTGTCGTTGCAGCATCATGGTAGTCCTGAGGCCTTGGAGTTCCAGATCTTCAAGAATCCTCTGTGGTCCTTCTTCTACATCTTCTCCGTCTCTTGCTTCCTCAGTCAGTTTTCTTGTTTACCCCCCCAGCATGCTGCCCGCCCTGAAGTTGATGCTGGAGTACCCCGCATCTTTACCCCTATCTGAGCTACAGTCTAAACTCCTTAAAGGGGGTTATATAGGGGTTTATATAGGGCTAGGGGATTACTATAGGGATTATGAAGGCTGTTACTGGGAGTTTAGATGCAAGCTCGTCTGAGCATATCTTTCAAGAGAGAGAGGTGTGCATCTTCATGTACCACGCCTGCATTGGCTGGAAGAAGGCGGGCTCGAGGGTGCGTGGAGAAGTCTGTTCGAAAGAAGGGCTAAGGAAAAAGCCCGTGATTTTTGGTCATATTTGTGACTTAGCGGTCACAGTCCTGACCCCAACCCTAAATCCTAACCCCTAATCCCAAACCTTTGGCCTAGGCTCTAGGACCTTGGGATTTACGAGAATAATCCTTTAATACAAACATTACTCCCCCCTGCCACCCTAATCTTAAATATGTCCTCCAATACAAGGTGTCTACGGGGGAATACTCAACATGAGGGGTTGGTTGAGGGGTTTTATGTTTGTCTGAAAGGGGCAGTAGAGTTAATGCAGCACCTGCCGGGATTTATCAGAGGGTTCAGGGCTTCGAGATAAGAGCCTAAGTCTGGAGTTCGGATTTTAGGGTTCAGGGGTTGGGTCTGGACCTTAGGCTTCAGGGTTCATTGTTTGGAAGGCTAGGTGAAACTGATCCTCTTCGTGAGGGAAATCTGACATACAAGTATCCCTGAGCCTTAGAAGATGCTCCGACACTTGCCCGAAATCCCAAGACAGTTTTTCGACACCTCACCCCCACTCTGCCCCTAAACCCTAAACCCTACAAATGGAGGTGCTCAGACAGCGACGGTTGAGTTGTTCATCTCTTGAGTCTGAGCCGTCAACCCCCCAAAGCCTGCAACCAACCCCCCAAACCCAAAACGCCAAAACCAAAACCCTACACGCCCAACCCCAAACTCTTCACAATCCTTGACGACACCCCAAACCTTTGACCCTGAACAGTTAACCCATGAATCCACAACCCCGCCCCTGACCCCTAATCAGCTCACTGAATCCTAAGTGAGCCCCAAGCCCTGACACCCAAGCCACCCCAATCCCTTGCCTCTGATTAGCAAAAAACATAGGAGTAACTAGATCCTTAGAGTGGTCCCTATACAATCCCCAGTACCATCGTAGTTTCCTTTTTCTTTTCCATCCTTCTAACCAGAGGCAAGTAGACCCTAAGCCGTAAACATCCCTATGAACCCGCAGTTTCCTCAATTTCAGATTCCCACCGGTTTTCCATTTGATTCTCTATTGCTCTCCATGGTTGGAGGGCTTAAACCTAAATCCTAAACCCTAACCCCTAGATCCTATAGATTAGAGCCATGGCCAGGTCACACCAGTCCTTGGCATTCCAAGGGGTCATATCTGGCGGGTGGAAATCATCGGCTACGCCATCATGACTGCCGGAATAGGGTTTAGGGGTTGGGGGGTTTACGGATTTAGGGGTTTGGGGGTTTACAGGTTTAGGTTTTAGGGTTTCAGGGTTTAGGGGTGTCAATCCTTTTCAAGGTATTTGGGCCTTGGGGGTTGGGACTTGGGGGTTTCGGGTGCAGGGTCGGGGGTGACGGGTGTAGACTCCGGCTTTTTTATGAGGTATCATGATTGACATCCAATCCTGCCCGGTTGGGAGGAGGCAACACGACAGGTTTCAAAATTATCTACGGGTCGACCCACACCCTGAATGCTAAACCTACATCCCGAAAAATTGGGGCCCTAAACCCTGAATCCTTAGGCCCTCAACTCTAAAACTGGCAGCCCCGAAACCCGAACCCAAAAAGCCTAAACCTTCACCAAAACAAGAGCAGGTTGTCAGGATACCCACTGTTGTTGCAAAGCTGAGGCACTCTGAAATGCCAGGCCTTAGAATCTACGATGCTTACTAGAAATTGGGTTTTTGGCGAAAGGAGCCATAGTCGAATCTCCAAAACGGGGGCTATATACGGGTGTGTCAGAGGGCTTATTAAGGGGGATACTAGGAGTTTAGACAAAAGCCCACAGGACGATTCGGGGGTACAGGAATGAGTCCTGGGGACTATTGGAAAGCACATGAGGACTACAAGAGATATCCTTTCCCTTCGCAGCAACAGGTACCAGGATGCACATGGCTTGAGGGGTTTCTGCACCAGCAATTTTTTTCTTAGCCAAGATGCCTCTCTAACCGCGAAGCCTCCTTTCACTACACTTTGGTATTCCCGGATGCATATCCACGAAGCTTTTCCCTGTGAGGATTGTCATGGGCTTGGTTTACATCTCCTTCCCACTCTACGTGATGGCCACCAAGCCGTTTGCAGGCAGCTGGACATTGGGGGCTGGCAGTCAGAATGGGGAAGAATGAAAGGCACTGCTATAGGACAGCGACCGATAATTAACATACAGCCGATCAAATCTCACAACCTACCCTCCCCAAATCTATAGTCCCCCTTAAGAAGATGGAATATGGCTTTGGGTATATTCATAATAAGATCCCCATATACCCCATATTCTATCTACTTAAGGGGGAATATAGCATCTAACCCAAAGAGGCCCTGTAGGAAGGACAGCAGGTTTTCGTAGAGCCTCTTTTGCGCTGCAATGTTAGCTTGGGCGAGTATCCATCGTGAGTGAATCAAACAGCTCCTCAAAGTGGTACTTGCCGGTTCGCTATGCCCTGAGAAGCCCGAAGCAAAGCGGTTACTGGATCTGGGTAGCATGGCTTACAGGACTTGCTACATGGCAGAGGCTTGACACAGGGTATCCTCTGCATTGTCAATATGGATGGGAGTTGTTCAAAGTTACCTTTAGGGGATCTTTCATGGGGACCGCATGATTCCTTGGTAGGCCGTGAACTCGTGTAAAGTTCTCGTGGTGCGGGACTTGAAGGCGAAGCTAGCTAAGTTGCACAAGGATGTTCTGACTCGAAGGCGAGAAAGTCCCTGAATCCTCAGCTCTCATCGCAGATGTGGGCAGGGGCCGGCATTCACATAATCCCCTCCCTCTAATATTAAAAACCACCCACCACAATGGGGAGTACCTTGGGCCTAAAGTCCTCCTTAAGTAGATAGAGTATGGGATATATGAGGATCTTATTATAATATACCCAAAGCCACATTCTATCTACTTATGGGGGACTGTAGGTGTCCCTTCTTGGCATGGATGCTTTGCTCGCTCGTAAAACTGGTCTAGGACATGATGAGCCCAGTACGTACCAGCAAATCTCCGCTCCCCAGGAATAACCCTAAATAACGGGCAAATGCGGTGGGTACTACAATCCTTATGGTGCTATAGGCTATAGTATATTAAGGTCATGCAGGATTTTTGAGCATCAGCAGTAGCATAGAATACCATTCTCGAATGCGGGTGTCTATTTATTGTCAAGGGGGTTGGCCCTAAACCCTAAGCGCCTGAAAGCCAGTCAGCATGGAGCCCAAAGCTCTGTGCCCCAAGCCCCAGACCCTCCGATTTCCCCCAAACGTCTCGAATATGTATGTAAGTATATATGTATGTAAGTATGTATGTATGTAAGTATGTATATGTATACATGTAAATATGTACATGTGTAGGTATATGTATCGGTATATCTATATCTATATATACACATACGTATATGTGTATGATATGCATAATTTGTACTGCCCTGCATTTGTGAGCCCAAGTCTTTCCATAGCACTTGGAGAATTGGACCAGTCCTGCCAGGCTACGAGACCAAAATTCAAATGCCGGGCCGTGTCGAGTGAAGATCCTTGTGCCAAAAAAAATTTCAGAGCAGTCGCACCGTAAAAAGCGGAGGCGGGTAAGGTTTCAGGGTCTGTGGGTTTCGGGGTGTGCGAGAAATAGTGTTCAGGAGTCATTCGCTCGCTGAATGTGCGACGTGGGGCAAAGTCTTCACCCTTTTGAAGACAGAGAACATGAGAGCCCCTGCTCGGAAGACTTCTGATCTTCCTACTTAAAATTTCAGTTCATCCAATAATCTTCTTTTTCTCGTTCAAAGCAATTTCCGATATATAGGTTTGCCAATTTGATTCTGGAATCTTGCTCGATAACTGAATCCGAACCCTTGCACCTTCAAGAAGGTGGGGGCCCAGCGTTCATGCCCTCAAACCCTAAACCGTACACCTTGAACCCGAAGAGCTAAGCCCTTGACCCTAGACCTCAATACCCGGAATGCTTTGTCGTAAGCAGTGCTCACCCCAACTGAGTAGTATTTTATGAGGGGATACTATCGTACCCATTATAAAGTAAGACTATATCCTCCTTTTGGGGTATTTTTTATGTCATAGGAGGAATATGGTCCTATTAGGTTCGACCACCAAAACACTGCTCAACGGAGCTGTGCTGCTTCCAAGGAACCGCTCCACTGGGGCAGGCAACGTTGCTTCTGTGAGCAGAGCCGCCCCACTTGTGCCTGCACGAGAAAATTGCTACGTTTGGGGGTTCTGGGTGCAGGTACAGGCAGGCTCCACCGCTTTCTGAACCTTTTCTTTGTCAGCAGTCCTTTCAGAGGCTGAGATTCATCCCTAAGCCCCAAATGATGTGGTGGTTTCCATGTTCTTTTAATTCCCCTCCCTGTCATTCCCCATGATGAGTAGAAAGCCCCTACAGCCCGAGCTTTGGAAGCGAGGGAAAGACTATGGCACCACGCTTGCTTTGCATTCTTTGGATCCTGGACCATTACCTTCACGCAGGGCGGCCCAGAAAGCCCGGCCCCAGCCCCACCCCGAAACTTGAAACTGCCTTGAGAAAGAGTCCTTCCACTCAACATAGAACACGCCCGCACTCCCCAACGCTACATATCCCTCTTTAGGAACCAATAGTGTATATAGATATATACATATATACATATATATACATATATGTATATGTTTATATATACATATATATATATATGTATGTCTATTGCAACTGGGCAGTGCGCAAGACGGGGTGTGTTTCCTATATCAGGGCGGCAACAAGCGATTACATTGCCGTGCCATCCGCAGCCTTTTTTTTAAGATCCTGGGAGCTGAGAAGGGCTCCCCTTTGCCTTTTTTCGACAAAGCCGCGATCTCAGGGGGCGAGGGGCGGAAAGGAGTTGGGGGTTAGAGTGGGGTTTGGGGTTGAGGGGTTTAGGGTTTAGAGGAGATGCTTCTTGTGCTTTTTTGGAAGTTTTGGGGCGAGTAAAACCTAAGAATCAGGTTTCGGTCGCGGCGCTGAATGCATTTAGGGATTCGCTTCATGAAGCTTGGGAACAACTTCAAGGAGGATGGTGTAGAGACTACCTCAGCACTACCGATTTACAGCTCCAGAAGCAGGTTCCAAGCGGATTTGAAAGCTTCGCATCCCGAGGCCTACAGAGACATGGACAGTTGCTGAATTGCATGTACATGTCCATGTATACGTGAACCCAGTATAGAATACAATTTCCCCATTGTTAACGGTACACGGCATTTGGCCTGATGGAATACATTTTTTCTCTTAAGTTCTGGTTCTGTAATTACATTCTGATCATGTTCAACCCTCAGCCCTAAACGCTACGCCCTAAACCCTAAACCCTAGGCCCTAAGCCCTACACCCTAAACCCAAACCCCTAAACCCTAAGCCCAGAGCCCTAAACCCTAAAACCTAAGCCCTAAACAGGCCAACCAATAAAAGCACAACGCTGGGGGCTGAGAGTAGTGTTCAGACAACTGGGATCCTCCCAGAAAAAGTTCAGGGTCCTCATTACCCCTAAGGTTTGGGGTTCAGGGTTTAGGGTTTAGGGTTTAGAGGGTATATAGAGAGTATCCAGGGATAATGGAAAAGAATATGGAAACTCCTACTCCTATATGTGGCTGCATCTGGGTTCTTGGGTTACATGAGCTACGGTTGTATAGGGGATTACATAGGGGAGTACTAAGGGGATATTAAGGGGGATACCAGGAGTTCAGACTGTAGCTCAAGTAGCCATGGAACACCGCACAGCGACAGTTTTATGAGTGCTTCCACTCTAAGCAAAGAGTAGGATTGGGTTTCCAGATTGTCCTGGGACAGAAGAAGAGTGGTGTCTGGATTGACTGAGCAGGGGAACTTGTGATTGCACCCCTAATGTGTTGTGATTTTTTTTGGCTGCTTTCTACGATCGAGAAATACGAATCATACAACTTCGCAGAGGGTGCGCACGAGTTCCGCAGTTGCCAACTCCAACTGCAACCCGCATAATGTGGAAGCTTTAACTATCGTGCAGTATCCTTCTGGCGTTTAGTTGAGGCACCCTATACCTGAAGCGCACAGGGAACCTAGGTCCATAATATCGGTACGTGTGTTGGCCCCTACCTTTACTCCAATTTGGTCAGTGGCTCTCATCTGAGGTCCTGTTGAAGTCAAGGTGCGCGGGTAAGGGCAGAGTTCAGAGGATTGTCGTCCTTCAGATCTTGGGTTAAGGGTTCAGGGTCTAGGGGTTGTTCAGAGAAACTTCACCTATGTAATTCAATTAGGACTCCCCAAGAATTCGGATCACGAGGGGGATAGAATGGGCCGTATGGGAGTGTGTCAAATGCACGCTTGTACACGTAGAATCCACTGTCACTGGACACAACGTAATCCCCTCGCATTGGCCGCATATGTCCCTCGGGTCTCTACGCAATGCCCCTGTTTCGAGAAACTCACACTTGGAGAAAAATCTCTCTTTGTCTGTTTCTCTTGGGCAGTATGTTAGGACTTTCAAAACAGCAGCTTGTAGGCTTGTAGGATTTCAGATTGGGTTTGTCTACCTTTTGTTGATCAAGATAAGCCCTTGTGGGACTGTGGGGTTCTAGGCAGAAACGTGGGCAGTTGCATGTCTTGTCGAAGGGAGCTGGTGCTTTTGCTAGGAAAACATCAGATCGAGATGGAGCCCGCCCCAAGTTGAGTTGCGTAGAGGAGGTGTCTGCAAAGTCAGAGAAAAATTTCGTCGCGCATGGGATCGCAGCCGTTCTGGGGCTTTTCACTCGTGCTTGGGGGTACGGGGAACTTAGTAAGTATACGTATAATCCCTATAACCCATAAAGGAACCCCATTCTTGACCTGCTAAGTCCCACTGACCAAAGCGGAAGACCCTAAATGGTCTAGGGTTTGTCGTCTCGGTTCAGGCTTTCATGTGCGAGGGCTTCTTCATCCGAATGTGTTTTGGTTCTGGTGTCCCTGTTTTGGAGTACCGGGGGTAGCCTATAACATAAAAAAGCTACTAGTATACTACGTATTTCTCTTAATTCTCTTAATTAAAGACCATGCTGAGTAATATACCTACCTGGATCCAGGCGCAATCCCAAACTAGACGTCCCCTGTTCCTTGCAACCCTTGATGCGGATTTAGGATTTAGGGTTTAGGGTTCAGCCGATTCGCAACCCCAAACCCGGAACTTTAGCGGCCTCCGAGGTTCCCATTTTACACGTCGGCAGCCTGCGAGTTACTTAATCTGATTGGCTACTACAGGGGCCTAAATACCTTCACAGGTGTATGAAGGGCTTCCTTCCAAAGTTGCCGACATCCACTGAAATCTCCATAATGTGGAATAGCAGCCTGAAGCAGTGCCAATTTTCATTTTGAAGTCTATTTTAGGTGGGTCACAGGTTCCAACCCTAATCCTAGACCCTTAAGTTATCATTCCTGGGCCCCTACGCTCTTGGCTTGATAGGTTTTTGAGTGTGGAGAACATGGCGTCCTCGTTCCCCACCAACCAAGCCATTGTTGTTGGCGGCGGGCTGGGAGGCGCCAGGGGCAGTTCTGTTCTGGGCATGGTCCTTGACTTGGGTGCGACAGCTTTGTGGGCAGGATGAGGAGTACATGTTGAAATTTCAGAAACTTGTAGCATTCTGAAGGGACGAGCCTAAAGCAGAGGCGCTTGGTCATGGTCTTAGTTAGGGACTGCCGGAAGCAATGCAGGCGCTTGAATAACTTGGGCACGGCTTCTCCGCGTGTTCCACCATGACCGTATTAACAAGGAATATAAGGCATATACCTCCCAAGTATTCAGGTCCATGTGTTATGGAGGACGTGGGAGGTGCTCAAGATTCTGAGTCCTCCGGCTGGTTCCCGAAACAGGTTACATGTTTCTTGGAGTTCATTAGGATTGAGAAGATCTCAACACGGACATAAGGATCATACATGGGTTTGTCATGCCATATAGTAGTTTTTCGTAAATGAGGGGGCCACATCATAGATTTCAACATATGATACTCCTTATTATGGGGATCCCCAAAAAGAGACCCATGATTTTGTGAAACCCGCCATGTCGTGGTCTGTTGGCAGCTTGGTTGCTTGCAGAGGCTTCAGCCAGGAGAATCCACGTGGGTAGGATTTGTAGAAGAAATGTGGGAGGTTCAGGGTCGTCCGCTTGAAGCTCTGGTTTACTGGGCTGTCTAGAAAGAGTTTTTAAGCCATCATTTTGGGAAATACACTCCTGTTCAAATTCTACCAGAACCCATATTTTGGAAATTACCCAAGGTAACTTCGGTAGCAGCAACGCAACTTGGGTTTGGATGTGCGGACCTATACCCTCAAATTTGGCACTCTACCAGGCTGTAGGGAAGTTTTTAGGGTTAAGAGTTCAACCCGAAACTCTCAACCCATCAAAATCTCCAATTTTGAGAGGCATGTCCGCTGCCAACACGGTAGTGGAGAACGGCGGCAGGGTAGTTTTGCTCGCCAGGGGCTCAGCTTCCTCCAAGAACCAGCATGGGAATTCCATGTTAGTTGGGGGAGTGTGGAGAATGTAGACTAGGCTTCCGACATGGATCATGCTGTTTACTGGGGCTCATAAGGGGATAAGAGAATAATTCCCTAAAGCCTAGAATAGGCCTTGAGAGGTTTAGTACTCACATGTCTACATTGCATGGATTTCCATGCTAGTGTGGGGGATAGTCGTTTTTCATGAGAAGGGGACTTGCAAAACGCGGCTGATGCCGTGTTTCTTATGTCGTTTTTGCCGTGGTTCTTAGGTCGTCCTGAGCCCCAACCACCACCTTGAGGGATTAGGGTTTAGGGAGCTTGGAGTTGGAAGTCAAAGTCGCTGACATGGACGCAGTTCCTATTTCAAGGTTGAGGGTTTAGGGGTTCAGGCTTCGCTCTGCGCCCTAGAACGAGCTTTTGTCGACCGCGGGTGCTTCTGCTCAGCTCCGGGGTTTGGAAGGGCGGCCGGGGGGGGGGGGTTAGTAACGTTCGTAACAAACGCTTCTGCAAGGCCTCGCTTGGCGACAAAACGCCGGCCACCTTTCTTCTGAAAATGCCGAAGTCCTGCGTTTTACAGGTGATTGAGGTTGTAGCAGAAGAAACACAGTGCTGATAGTTGGGCGTTTCCCTTCATGTGCCAGGATGCATGTTCCGCGACCTCTCATTTGGCAGCGAAGTCTCGGCAGAACTTTCCAAGAAACAACGCGCTGGATTTGAACGTTTTGTCTTGCAAAGCTTTGCGGAGACTTTCGGGCCAAATGGGGGCTCGCGACAGCTGTTATGACCTGACGCACAAAGAAAAAATGTCTGACTATCAGCATCGTACTTTTCCTACTACACCCTCAATCACCTGTAGGATGCAGGACTTTGGCATTTTCAGAAGAATTTTGGCCGGTGTTTCGTCGCCAGTGCGCGATGCGTACTCGGCGCAGCCCTTCAAGAACCTGCTCTGGGCCGACTAGAGCTTGGAGTGTCCAAAATCCCAATGCCACGGTCCCCTGCGTTTTACAGGGTATTCTGCATTTGGCCAGGCTTCTACACACGAAGCAGCCTTTCCCTTGAAGCAGCACAGCTAGACATCGCAGATTTTCCATAGGACAACTAAGAATTTTATATGAAGCCCCCTCACAACATACTCCTTCTCAATCATGACCGTGCGTGCCAACTCGAGCTTCGTGCGTGCGAACTCAAGCTTCGTGCGCGCGAAGGCATGCTGCAGTTGTACTTTTTGTCTTGACATCAGGCCCCCAAAGTACTGCAAATAGTAGGACTTTGCGCTCCTTTCCATGAGAAAGCTTTCCATTCGGAGAACCTCTACGAAGCATTAGGGTTGCTTAGGGTTTAGGTTTTCCGAAACTAAAGGGTCCCATTTCTTGTAGTCCCTACAATAAGTTAGTGGTGAACTTGGTGAACATTTCCATTTTATAACCGTGCACCAACCCCTAGCACCCAAACCATAAGAACCTATACCTCGACCTCCAACCCACCAAAAAACCCAACACAAGACCCCTAGGATGAAACGCATAGTATGATATCATAGGCAGCCCCATAGAGAATAGCATGCTCAAAACCATAGCATGTCCCACCCAATATAAAATCCATAGTATCCAACCCGAAACCTCTATACTGAGAAAATGGAAATGGTCGGTTCAAATAGTTTAAAACAGGCATCCATATCTTCACAGTATATGTGTTGTTTTACAGATTAAAGGACGAGAAAAAAGATATATCAAATCAATACAGCTTTTAAAGACAGTAGAGGCAGACCTTATACTGCTTACTCGAAATACTCGAAAGCATTACATGTAAAATCTTCTACATAGAAGACCTATTCAGAAAAAGGGTATTTCACACCGACAGAGACACTGCGAGACTGTTGTTGAACATGTAGAATACCCTACAAACCGACCCAGAAGCGAAGGAAGATTTAGAATTTCAGAAGGAATACATGGGTTGCATCAAGCTGCTCGGTGTAGGCCCCCCCCCAACACAACCCCACCAGAACCGCTGGAACACTCTGGAGAACCGATAAGGCTATTCTAGAAGCGTAAATAATTACCAACATTAAGGTCCCCTGGATAACTATGGTGGCGGGTACCTAAAATCGATTTCAAATTGATACTGGTAAGTTTGTAGGCTAGACCCGAAACTCTAAATCCGAAAACCCTAAACCCTGAATCCTAAACCCTAAAATCCTAAAATCCTAAACCCTAAACCCTTAACCCTTAACCTACATGATCCGATATGGCGCTATAATCCCAAGAAGCCTACCTTGCTGGGCTGGTTTTACTTGTCTACTCGGTGCCGGTGAGTAGGGTTTATCTGGGAATAATGTAAGATTGTATTCTTTTTTTGGGTATAGTATTTTGATATACAGAAGATGAAAATACTTGGTTCAACCACCACAAATACACACTACTTACTCAGGTAGAGCGTGGCGGAAGGGATCCCTAATGCAGCTTCGGATCTGGGTTCCCCCAAAGTAGGGGTAGCATTTTGGGAGTCCCTATAAGAAAGACTACAGTATTTTGGGGTTTATATTGCCGCCCTCTATTTTGGGAAAGTACCAGATGATCCCTAAACTCTAAACCTTCTTGACTTCCTTCCTTCATTCCCCACGTAAGAACCAACAATTTTTTCGAGAGGACAAATCTTCATTCTGCGGCGGTAACTCCACGAAGGCCACCTCTGGCATCAACGGAGCAGGCGCGATTCATGATTTGCTGCTTCACTGGCATCGCAGGGCAGGGTACTGGGCATCAGAAAGGTGCACGCGAAGGAAGCCAGTCAGTGGGGATCACATCTATTTTTAGATGTAAGGTGTGCCTTCCTGGTTTCGAAGATCAAGCAAGGTTACTGTTGGAGTCCGGAAGTTAGGAGGGGGCCTTTAGCATCAGCTAGATGCCAGAATTTCATCCATCTCCAGAATTTCTTCCAACATTTGCTTCAACTCAAATCACTGTAGTGGCCAGAATAGGGAGGTGCCCAGATTAGGGGTGCCTCGCTGCTGTGCCCATCATAATGAGGGTTCCTATGGGGCGGGGATTATATTCCCATATTCCCCACTAAGAACCATCAAGTAGGACGGGTATATCAGAGCACATTTAGGGAAACCCTAAATCCCATATATCCTTATATACCCCCCTATATCCCCCTTCAAAGGTACCCGACATGAGCCCCTGCTCCAGTTCCAGCAAATACTTGGGTTTCTTGCTTGTAGTACTTCAACTTAAGTTCAAGAGAAACAAAGAAAATCCAGCTACAGTCCCCAACAGGGACCTCCTTGATCCTTTTTACTTATGGGCGCATACGGATCGTCAAATTTGTAGCTGCGCGCACCTGAACCCCTGAAACCTGAAGTGCGAGGCCAGGTTACCTATACACAAGTACCGTGCAAATACGACACCCGCATATGGACAGATGTCTGGAAGCCATCGCCCAACTCTGAATTTGAGTTTCGCTACTCCTGCATGGTAGTTAACGTGATATGCTGGCAGACAACAGAAGACACCAGAATGCATGTGACCGGACTATCGCTTGTAAACCTCTGAGTGCAGGCACGAAGACCCAGAAGGCAAAGGGTATTCCAGACAACGCCGAGATCTTTACCCAGGACATACTGCTTAGTAGGGAATATGGGAATGTATTATAAAGGGAGTCTACAGGGATTGTATTACCTTATTCCCTGCTGACCCGCCCCCAGTAAGAGGACTTGGGGCGCAGGTTCATCACTCTACCATGTGGCATTTTGGGATAATGATAATGTCTAATTCATTTCCCTGAGTGGTGTACAAGGGAGCCTGCTCATAGAGAACCCTAGGGGCCTTTAAAGAATACCACCAGTTTCCGTGCATACTGTATACGCCTACATGCCTACATGATTACCGATGTTATGGTCCAGGGTTTCCTGTATCCTTATGGGAAAACGTACCTCGAATTGACTTCAACCTGATATGGTCATTTCCCAAAATAGGGGTACCCCAATGTAGACCCCAATATACTATAACCCTTGTTATGGGGATCCCCAAAATGGTACCCCTAATTTTGGGAAACCCCCATATTGGTGATCATTTAGCCCTTTCACAGGGACAGCGTGCTTTGCAGTGAACCTTGCAGGGTTGCATGTCCTTTTCATGGAGGGCAGCCCTCATCCGTGCGCCTCGGCACAGAACATAGGAACTGGCGCTATGATTTGCCATGAACCATTTGGTGATTCTCGCGCTCCTATCGATTCTGAGAGGGGTTGGGCTTGGTACTGGGTAATCCTAAACCCTTCAAACTGTGATGGTCGTATGTTAAGACATTCGCGTTTGCCCAGTGCCGCTCCAAGAGCCCGTTGTGACTGTAGCCAGGTTGGGCACCCTGAGCCCTAAATCCTTCCGAGCTAGTTTAGAGGTTTTAGGGTTTAGGTGTTGAGGCCATGTTGACGGGGGCTGTCTCCTTGATTAGAGCGGGAGCTCATATGATCTCCACTCTAGGGCTTGGCTTACAGTTCGGTTTGCGGGGTGGCCAGGGTACAATCGAATACGGGCCCTCCCGGCTCCCTTATCATGCGCCCCCCTTAGAAATTGGGAAGTCGGAGGAAAAATTGACCAACAATTACATGGACTGTATCACTGGCACAGTTGCATGGAGGTTCGAGGGAAGGGCAAGCTCCAACAGACAAGATCGTCTTGGAGTTGCTAGACAGTTTTACACAAGAACTTAGTTGCGCCGACCAAAGCCGATCATACCTTGACAGTTTGCACATTCACTGACATCGTCACGGAGGGGCCCTCAATGGTCCTGTAAATTCATGATGTCGATGCTTCCTTCAGTCTCTATAGTTTGATAGGGCTTACAGATAACCCCTATACAACCCATATATATATATATAAAGTACACCTATCGGTATAGACATCTATCTATCTAGCTTTCTATCCATTATAATCCCTGTAATAAATCCTTCCCACACACGAAGGACACCTTGAAAGGTGGAGCAAAGAAGCCAGAGCTTGCGAAGTACCTGGACTGCAAATCTTACTCTTGGCAGTAGGTTTGGGTTTAGGGTTTGGTTGCTGCTAATGAACTTAAATGTTTATTTAGCACCAAAAAAAGGTGTCACTCAGCATTGTGGTTATTTCATCTAAGTTCCTCAACAGGAACCAAGTAGGGAATGTATGAATCAAAAAAGGAACGAGCTCCCAGATCCCGTTCCTTAATCCCCCTCTAAAGAGCAGGCAGCAAGTAGTGCCCCGCAGCAATCGGTGAGGCTACAACATGGATCATTGATCGTAATTTGAAATGGCCAGGGAGTATACTCACCGCTCTAAATTTTAGAAGCAGTCCAATTGACCTGTATACTTAGTAGCTTGGTAGGTACACTTTACAGTTTTGGGGTTCTTATATTCCCATTAGAATAAAAGGTGTACACTTTTTAGGGGCCAGGAAACTCAGCAACTAGGGTATACCAAGACGTCTTACCCATCATCCCTACGCGTGTCCCTAAACACTCAACCCTAAACCTGTTGGTGGGGACTTGCCTTGCAGGGCTGTGTGTGCGTGGTTCCGGCCGACTCAAGGCAGACCTTCTCCCGAAATCAACATTGACTGTGAAAAGGACACCCCATCAGCTTGCATTTTTGTTTGCAGAAGGTAAACCATAATCACCGACTTGCCGACCGTATGAGATGGGGTGTAAGGACCTGCCAAGCAACGACCAACAACAAGGAAGAGCTTCCCCTTCCTGGCTGCAATCCGCTCAATGCAGCACATGCCCAAAACAAGCTTTTCTGGCTGGCAAGTGAGTCCTGGCAAGGCGGAAAGTTGAGGGTTTAGACGTACCATGCACTGAAAAAGTCAACCTTTTTTTTCTGCGGTTCCATCTTGACATTTGCCTCCGCTCCCCGTTCAGAAAATTGATTCCCCACGCTCCTATGTCTATTGCTATCTGTTACTCTTCATACTTTTGCTACTGCTATTAGTAGTAGTACTATTAGTGCTACTGTTATATTCTTTTTGTTGTTCTTACGATTACGCGTACAATGATAGCTTATGACTACAACTCGGGTAATTTCTAGTACACCTAAACCTAAACCCCAAACCCTGAGCCAAGTCTAGTACCCTTACCATTACTGGCCTTGAGCAGTAGCCTGATGGATTGCCTAACGAGGCTGCTGTGCGATAACAGCGCCGCAGATGTTGCATCCCGGTTTGCATTTGGGCTAATAGGGATAATGGAAAATAGAATGGAAACTACTATCTTATAATAGTGTACATATTGAATGGAGTACCCGTTTTCAAAAAAGAAATTGGGTGAGGTAAAACTTTGAGAATTTGATCGGGGGTGCTTGTGTGTGGCGCTCAGTGTGTATGGGTCAATTTTCCAGGTTTGGTTGCTTCGAGGTGCAGGTGAAACAGACTTTTCTGTCGAAAATGTAGAGATGTTTGTGTCTACTTGTCCAAACACATCCCTACACGCCTAAATCCTCCCACCTTTATCCCCCAACCCCTAGACTCTAAACCCTCATCCGCAAACCCTTCTTAAAATCCAATACTATCCTAGCCCTCGTTATTGACACCACGCCTCCACAGGAACGGTACACTCTACACCCCCCCTTTCCATGTGCTTGTGATCTGTGAGCCAGGGCTTGTGATTTAGAATTCAGGGTTTAGGTCTGGGGATTTTGGGGTGTATGGTTTAGGGTTTAGGCTTTACGATTCAGGGCGCCTCTCATAAAGTAGCCTCAGGGACCTCGGGGGCTTGTGCAGACTGTAGTAGAATTGAAGGGGATCACCATGTGGATATATTTAGGGCCGGGACAGTTTGAGAAGACCCCCCCCATATATTTGGGTGCGGAAAGTTGAAATTGCTTCGTTTCATGCTGAAGTTCCCTGACTGAACAGGAAGGGGCGTGTTGAAACAGCTCCAACTGAATGCTTCCTTGATACTTTTTGATCCTTAACTTCTTCAGCATGGTGTTAAAGCGCATTTGAAACAGTGACTTGGCGACCTCAAAGTATACAAGATGGCAGGCAGAATCACACAATCTTCACAACCTCCTGGCGGGATTCAAGATGCTGGGTTGCTCCCATCGCGCTCCTCAATTGAGGTTCGCATCATCTCAGGCCAGCAGCCACCAAAATGGGACACGGAGCACGGAGCTCCCTTTCTGCTCGCTCGAGTGTTAAGATGCGGAACGCTACCCTAAACCCTGAGCCCTTAACTTGAAGCGAATTCCTCTGCGCGTACGAGGCCCAAAACAAGACTGAGTTGGAGTCGACTTCCCATGACCCCCTAAACCCTGAACCGACTCCTGCAAGTTCGTGGGGCAAGGGAGTCTTCAAGCCGAGCCTCCTAAACCCCTAACCCCTTCCCTTACTACCTCAGACCTCAGTTTGCATTTTATTTTCCACTCCACTTGGTGGCTCCTAAGCCTCTGAAGCCGCCCCAAGAACCTATGGTTTCTCTTCTTGCTATTATACTTACTCCTACTATTACGATTACTATCACATATTCTTAAAATTTTATTCCCATTACAGTTTTCTTACTTTCCCTTTTCTCATTAGTGTTATTACCCTAAAACCCACGCCCTAAGCCCTAAGGCCCAAGCCCTAAACCACAGAGTCCCAGGACTGGCTGGTGGACATCTTCAACCTGGATCTGTCTCTGCTGGCTCGCATCTGGGCTGCAGCTTCATTTACAAAGGGGTTTATAGAGTTTAGGGTATAGGGGTCATATAGGGGTCTGATAGGGATACATATATATATATATATAGGGCTCATGGTTTCCCAAGATTAGGGGTACTTTTTTTAAGGAATTTAATTCAAACGAATTGCCATATTACCGGTACATAGTAAATAATGGGTTTCCTCACCATAGTAAGTGAATGTAAGCTCCTTAACAGCAACCCAGTTTAAGGAAGTTCCCAGGAGACTCCTTTGTATGCGGGCCCCATATTAGGAGACCCTGTGGGACCTTATCGAGGTCTTTAGGGCGTTCTTAGTTCAGGGCAGTTATGGGTCCCCTTTATATGTGGGGCCTAAATGGGGAAGTTTGAATGAATGTCGGGAATCGCGGAGCCCCGCAGTAGAAGGTCGGTAGACTTGTTTGTGCTTATGGGGTTTAGGGTTTGGGGCTTGGGGTTTACGGTGGCTGTAGCAATCTTTTAGGGTGGCTGTAGCAATCTATGCGGCATGAGTGATTGTTGAAGGCTACCCATACTTTGGCACACCCCATACTCCAAAAGTAACCTCTAGCACCCTACCCCATACACGCAATCTGAGGCTCCTGATATACTCGTAGAGCAAGATCTTAATTCCTTCTTGTCTTTGTCAGAAGGAGAAAATCTTGTATACCCCAACACCCCGTTCGAGTTCTTCAGGCCGCTGCGTAACAAAACTCTTAGCAGCCCCTTCTTAAACCGGATCTCCATTTGATTCTCATTTGAGTTCTCCATGATTCTGCATATGCAGGCCCTTACCTGCAAATCATGTACTGATGTTCCTCAACCCTACATAGTCCCCATATAACCTCAAACTCTAAACCCTGGAGCCTAAACCTAAGCCCTAGACCCCACCAAATTCTATGTTAGGTTCCATTTTGTTTTCCATTCCTCTTATTTGATAGCCCTTAGTCCAAAAAGGCCGCAAACCTAGACCCCAATCACAAAATCCTAAACCCCAAACCCTAAACCCTAAATCCTAAGCCGCAAACCCTAAACCCAGAACCCGAACCCAAATCCTAAACCCTAGACCCCAAACCCTCAACCCCAAAGCGTAAACCCCAAACCCCAAGCCCTAAGCCATAAATCAAAACCCCAAACCCTAGACCCCAAAGCCTAAACCCTCAAGCCCAGATAAATACAAATTGTATAGGGCAAAAGCAAAAAGCAAAACCGGTCAAAAGTCGTCCAAAACCCGACCAAAACTCCCGACCTGAACCCTATACAAAAGGCAAAAAGCAAAACCGGTCAAACGTCGCCCAGAACCCGCCCAAAACTCCCGACCTGAACCCTATACAATTTGCATACACCCCAGGACCCTAAATCCCAAACCTCAAACCCCAAAGTCTAAACCCTGACCCCCAAACCCCTAAACCGTAATCCCTAATCCCTAAACCCTACTGAAACCCTAAACCCTAAACCCTAAACCCTGACCCCCCAAACCCTTTTGCTTTGTGGCAACTCTTTGTCCTCAGGCCTCGGTGGCCACTCGCAGCCCCGAACGCACAGAGGCCACGAACGTGGGAGAGGGGCATCCCAGGTAGCAGGTTTAGGTTTTTGGGGTTTAGGGTTTAGGGTTTAGGTTTTTGGGGGTTTAGGGTTTAGGGTTCTGGGGTTTGGCCTGGGTGGGAATTTAGGGTTTAGGGCTTAGGGCTTAGCGTTTAGAGTTTAGGGTTTTAGGTTGCGGGTGGGGGATCAGGGTGGCTTAGGGTTCAAGAGTTCGAAATTCTCAAGGCTGTTGCGAAGCCCCAAAAACCTCACTACTTGACCTGCATTAAAACTCCACACACACAGCTGCTATGTGAGCTATAGTCTAAGCTAGGAAGGAGGACAGAATATAGCTCATGTGGGTCCTCGGGATGGTGGTCCTTGTGACTTGGGGTTTATCAAGGTCCATTAGTCATGACCTGAACCCCAAAAGTATGTAGGACAGTAACCTTTTGGGCTGTTTTTTGGAGGTTTGGGCTATTATTTTACCTACCTTTGGGGGCCAGGTAGTCTTAAGGAAGTCCTGCTTCAGCACCAAGATCCACACTGAGCCACTCCTGTTGCCAGGTAAGGAGCGCTTCCCTGGCATGACCATCACCTACGCCCTGATCCAGATGTTGGAAAAGGCCACCATACCCACTTGCGTCAAGGTTTAGGCTTTAACAACTTTGAACTCTAAACCCTAAACCCTAAACCCTTCAGGGTTGGACTGAGATTGGTTGCATCTTTTGAGTCTGAGGGTGGGGGGCTTCCTTCCCAGATGCTCCGTAGACACGTAGTCTGATATGCTTGGATAGGGGCTATGCTGATGCCCAAGCAAGAGTGCAGAGTGGAGGCCGTTAGTTCGGGGCTACTGCGAGCAGCTTCATGGACTTTCGAGCGGCTCGTGGTTTGGGATTGAGGCTGAACATATACCCTATAAGAATATAATTAGTTTTCATTTTCTTGTCCATTATCCCTATATGTCCCCAATATACAAAATAGTAGTCAGCATCAATAGAACATCTTTAGGACTTGTGGTTTTGGAGGTGCTGGAGCTAGGCCGGGTTTAGGGAGCTGTAGTACATGATTGCGCAGGACTTGGCCATGACGCCTTCTCTGGTGATTATCTGCATCCCTGCTTCGAAGCAGAACTTCCAGCTGTAGCCTTTCTAGGTGCCAGAGCTAACCCAGCTAACCCCTGCATCCAAGTCCATTGCCATTACTCACGCACCTTTGCAGGCTTGCTTCTGAGTGTCTACAGTCTCAAGCTTTTCGTACGATTCAGAAGCCTTGCACTTCCGCGGGCATTGACCCTTGAGGATTCCCACCTTGTACTAGAAAGCCTTGGGCCAAAAGTCTTGCTGCAATCTCTTCTTGCACCTCTGAGTAGGACATTCCCCAATACCTAAACTCTAAAGCCTACATCTTTGAAGAAGGGACACGCCCCACACGACAACCCATGATCCCTGATTAACCCCTACATAACTACTACATAAGCCCTATATATGTGGAGGGAGGAGGGGGGGGCAAGGGAGGGTTTAGGGTTTTGGTATAGTAGTAGCTTCCGTTCTCATTTCCAATATCTCCAGATAACCCCTATAGTGTAGTGTGAAAAGGTCGCCGAGAAGACGGATCTTGCACGAATCATCACCAAAGCCAAGGCATGGGGCTCTTGCACCCGGGGTTATACTGGGAGTATCTAGGCGTAATGGAAAAGAAAATGGAAACTGCGATAATGTAGGGGTCGTATAGGGGTTGTTGGGTTATATGAGCTATGGTCTTAACTCCTCAAAGGGGGTTATATAGGGGACGGTATAGGGGAGTATTATAGGGGTTATTAAGGGGGATGATACTAGGGTTATATGCGCAGTTCCCAAAGTTATGGTCCTGTTTGAGTACCCCTGAATATTAGGTGGCATAATATAATCTAAAGCCAAAAGGGGGTTCCATGATTTGAGAACAACCAATATTGGGGTTATCTAGGGAGAATGGAAAATACCTGGAAACTACTGTGTATTCTTAAGGGCTTATGGGTGTAGGATGTCGGCCCCTAAACCCTATAAACCTTGCTTGGTGGCGCAGGCTTCAGGGTTTAGGGCTTGTGGCTTAGGAATGCGGATTTGGAAATTTGGGTTTTGAGGATGCCAACAGGATTGGGGTTTAGGGTTTAGGGTAGCTGGATTTACAAATTCAAGAGTTCATCAACGAAACTGGGTTTGCTTGACAGAGGCCCCGGCATTCACAGGATTCTTACTTTAGTAGGGGCTTGGAAACAACGGTTGGCGATTTTGATAAGCGCCCATGTTCAGCAAGGATTTAATGGTTCAGGGCCTCATTGCTGGGTTTGGGTCAGGGTTAGGGTTTGGAGCTTGCGGTTTAGGTTAGGTGAAATTCGTCGACGGGCAGTTTGCTCATGAACTCAGGGCTCAGGGGTTCATCCTGTCTGCCAAAAAAGTATTCGCACATCGCAGCAACAGCATGAGCATACAGTCCTTAAGCCTTAAACCCTACACCAGGAACATACAGCAGTAGTAGGAACCTTTTGCTTAGCTTCGCCACCTAAGCTTGGAGGCGCTCCAGCCTGCCAGCCTTCCATTCAGCAGGGTTTAGGGTTTAGGCTTTCAGGGTTTAGGTTTTAGGGTTCAGGCAGAAATTCCAAAGTTCCCCCACTGGCTCAGGTGTTCAAACTCGTGACGGAGGGCAACGTGTGCGTGGGCTGCGTGTACGAGAAGGGCGGCCAGAACTTCCAGGAGTTCTTTGGGGTCTTGGTGTCCCGAACATGAAGTTAATGTAGGGGCCTGAATGATCAGAGTAGTGTATACTAGAGTACGTTTCTTATTCAAGGAGCATGAGGAGCATGTTGGTAGCGATTCAGGTTTCTGTAATAATGGTAGAGCAAGGTCATTCTTTGGCGTGACTGTTCTCTTCCATCCACCTTTGCGCATGTTGCGCGATTGAATGTGCCTGCATTGGCTGAGTCTCCACGCTTTCCACCCCAAACCCTAAACACCCTAAACCCGAAACCCTGAGCACCTGCCAACTCTGGATGGAATACTGACGGACCGGCGTGTTGGAGCTGGACAAGCCGAACTTTAGACTTTAAGCATGTAGGGTTTAGGGTGAAGGGTTTATGCAGGGACGTCGAAGAATGCAGATGAACAGACCATTAAGCGAAGCAGAGCAACCCAAGCCCCAATTCCTCCAGGAGTTCGGCCCAGTGATCTTGGCGTCAGGCGCACAAGCTGCAAGACCCCTCTCTCTGATTTCAGAAGCACAGGGACCAGGGTTTGAGGGCTTTCAAAATTCTACAGTACTTGGGTGCTCGGGGGGCATCTATGGTGTTGGAGGTCTGTATGAGGGTAGGAGGAAAGCTTTTTTGAGCTGGGGTTCAAGTCGAGTTTACCTTTGGGCCAGAACATCAACAACGAGTAATGCCCCAACGTTTCCACAAGGGTCTCTGTACAACTGTTGGACAAGAACCTGCCCGCAAGGTTTGGTCCGATTATATCTGCCCTTTGATTGTGGGAGCTGTTGCAGGAGAGGCTTTGGGGCAGGGCTAGCCCTAAACCCTAGACCCCTAAACCCTAAACCCTGATTCGGTTGGGGTCATTTTCCGAGAATTGAACCTGAAACTGGGATGAAGGTAAGTGAGGTGACAAGCTTGGGCACCTGAAGGACATTCCAAGCTCTGCGCTCATCCTTCCTGGGTTCTCTTTTGGGGTTTAGGGTGCAGTAGGGTATATAATAGGGTATATAATAGGATATATAGATATATACATATTAGGGTTATTTTGGGATAATGGAAAAGAAAATGGAAACTACTGTAATAGTGTAGGTTCGAAGTTCAAAGGTTCAGGATTTCAGGAGCAAGGATCTGGAGCGACTAGAGTCCATGAATGCTAGGGGTGGCCGTAGCATGGATCGACTTCCCTAGACACCGAAACCCTGAACTCCTACCAGCTCATAACCTAGCCCTTACCTGGACCCTCCAAGGTAGTTCTTGTTTGTTTGGTATGGATCTGAGGTTAGGATTCTTCTGAGGATCCTTGAAATGAGAGGGTTTAGGTGTGGGTCTCCGAAACTTGGGGTTCCGCCTTGTGTTTCCGCAAAACTAGAACCCCTGTTTTTCGGAACTTCTACGAAAGGATGCCAGATTTTGAACCCCCCCCGAACCCAGAGCCCGTGCCTGGCAGGCGGCTTTGGAGCCGACTTCACCCAGGACCTCCATGATGTATGAAGGGTTAAAGGTCTAGGGTTGGGGGGGGTTCAGGGTTTAGGGCTTGTAGGGTTTAGGTTTAGGGTCAGTGCTTTGGGATTAAGATCTCAGGGTTTTGGGTGAAGGGATTTGATGGTTCGCATATGCCATTAAGGAGCGCAATCAATTCGAATAGAAACGTAGAGTAGTTCGTATCGCAAAGACAGGAATCACACAGGGACAATGCTAGCACGTATAGAGGCTTCTGCAGCAAGTGGCATTTAGGATTAAGGAATGTGGCTTCAGGGCCAAAAGGGCATAGGCTTAGGGTTCAGGTCTTTGGGCTATCATGCTCTTTTTGGCGGTTTCTGGGTACAGGGCACCTTTCGTGAAGAAAGAACACTTTAAAGGGTGCATTTAAGGCGTATTGCTTCGTCTCAAATTGCTTTTCTCTTTGTTAGTAGGGAACAAGGGAATACAGTATACTTTTTGGAAAACCCAGGGCAACGGCAACTATCAACCGAATGAAACCCAGGACATAGCATTGGCACATTAAACCCTAAACTCCGCTCGAGCTCCGCGCATCCTTGAGGATTCTCTGCTTGCCAAGTACCGGCCAGACCTTCTCCACCTGCATCTTGGCAGCAAGGGGAGGAATAGACTGCTTTTCAAACATTCTTTATATTGGTCCCCGCTAAGGACACCCATAATCCCCTTGTAAGTCCAAGACTTCCCTGTTTGAGAAATTCTCGAAATTCCCATCGGACTGACTGGTTGCCCCGGCGTTTCCGCCTGCTATGTAGGATTTGTGCCAGTATCCGCGACTCTCCATCTAGTGGTGTTGTGGGAATTGCTTAAACAAAGCACCCATGGTTCTTGTGTTCAGATGCCTTGCCACTTGTTGCATTGCATGGTGTTTGCGCGTCGTCCGTGCATCCTGCCTTGGTATCTGTTGTTGGGGATTGATGTGGATGTTATTGAAGACCTACGCAGGTTAAGCTGTGTGGTAGCATGTCATGTGCATTTGAGGAGTCGGGGCCTGGGAATCAGGATTTTGTTTCCAAGGTTTTCGCGCAGAAGCATCATCAAGGGACTATCCTAAGCTTGTGCCAGGAGCGTTCTAGGTTTGTCATCCGTGTCAAAACGCAAGGAGCCTCCGCAGCAGGATTCAAAAACATTGACCATTGCTTTGACACATTCCCAGTTTGACTTGACTTTTTCTGAGGTTTTGTTAGATTTGGCATCAGTCTTAGGTTCTGCGGGGATTGGGTTAGTGTGACCTCAAGAGGCGCAGGCTGGCCCTCACTTGGAGGGCCAGGCAGCCGTAGTAAGTACTCTTTATAACCCCTATAGCGCCTATAATTCATATATATATATATAATGCTATAATCTAAACTCCTTGAAGGGGGTTCTCTAGAGAATTGTATAGGGGACTATTGTAGGGGTTATTAAGGGGGCTAGTAGAAGTTCAGACTATAGCTCATTAAAGAAAAGCAGTTATTCCCGGTATTAAGCTATTAACGAACCCCCCACCGATACTCCAAGTAGATCCCCAAGGCCGACGACCAATGGCGAGCACTGCACTGGCGACGGCATCAAGATGGGTGAGGCAACATCCAGGGGCTCCCAAAGTAAGGCTAGCCCTACGTAAAGGGGGGCTTAGGACATAATGGAGATAACTGGGGTTATCATTATGGGGGTTTCACACCTACTGACTATAAGTCTCCTTCTATCCTGCCAAAATGGGGCTGCCAGATATATTTTAGGGAGGTTCTTGGGAGTTTGTTGGGTGCTGTTTAGGGATGATGTGAGCATCATCTGGAAAACTCCCATTTGGCATTTGGTGACCGCTCTATCTGAGCGTAAACTACGTTGCACGCGTGAATTTCTAGTGCGAGGCTTTTTTTTGAACTCATAGCCGTTGAACTCAGGAAATGGATTCGGCTGGTGGGATTTTCATGCTTAGGTCTGATTCAGCTGGTGCTGCTGGGTTTTCTCGTTCAGCGGTGCCATCTTTGGACTTCTGCCGGCAACTGCACTGGGCCTGAGGTTCCTGCCTTCGTAGAGGGAAGGTCCTGTAGAGTTGATGCTGTAGAGCTCCGAGGATTTTAGGGTTTAGGCTTTAGGGTTGAGGGTTTAGGGTTTAGGGTTGAGGGTTTAGGGTTTAGGGCGTTCCTTACAATCCTCCCTTCCTTCCCGCCCCCCAAAACATACCCTCCTGGAGGCAATCGGAGCCAAGACCATCGACCTGGAGTGGGTCCAGGCGGGCTTGATCATCTTTAGTAGCAATAGTAGGTGACATGCATCATAGATAGTAAGTGTAGTAACACTGGTCATAAGAGTAATAAGTGTCATAATTATACTAGTAATGGTATTTTGTAAGATCATAATGGTAACATTTCTTTTGGCAAAAACAGGGTTTAGGGCTGTAAACAGGCAATATCTTACAGCCTCTTATACGGACCCTTGTAGAAGACCCTCATGTTTCTTACTGTTCGTACCTGGGTTTTTGGTTATTTCTCAACGGTAGGGTGCCCCGAACTCTAAACCTTAAACCCCAACCCCTAAACCCAATGAACCCTAAACCCTAAACCAGAGCAGCCATCTCAATGATGACAAAGGGAGGATTCCAAGGCGTCCTTGTTTGGAGGGTGTGGGGGGGAGGCTTAGTAAATATACTGATAGCCCTAGGGGGCCCCTATCTCCCATATAGTAACCCCAGTTATCTAAGCCCTAAACCCCTAAACCCTAAAACCCTAAACACCCCACACCCCTAAGCCCCAAAACCCCTAAATCCCAAACCCCTAAACACTAAACCCCTAAACCCTAAAGCTCCCTAAGTCTTTAGGCTCGTGCCCCCAACCCAAAGCCAGCACGCTGAACCCTGAGCCATATAAACTAGCCCCATACCCCCAAGCCCTGGCATCTTTGAAAGCCCAAAAGGGGGGTTTAGGGTGTAGGGTTTAGAGGGTCTAGGGGCTTATTACCATTACTTAGGGTTTGAAAGGGGGTCATTTTGATTTTAGAATTTGACAATTAAGGAAATTTGGGGACTGAAAGTAAGGGTAAGTTTTTATGGGCTTGAGGGTTAAGGGCTTAACTGTCAACCCCAAACCCTACAAGCGCTGTAACATCCAACATTTGGACCAGCATTCTGTGGCTCAAAAGCCTGCAACCCATGAATCCTTTGCCCACGGCTTGAGCTCCACCTTCTTGACCCGATACCTACCATTCTTGGCATTATTCTTATTACTGCCACTTTTTTCCATTATTATTATTATTATTGTTATTTGTATCACTATTGTTATTATGATGTCACTTGAAGCCTCGGGGAGAATAGTAAGAATTGTATTCATAGAAGCGTGATAGTACGATATGCCGCGGCAGGGCACCTAAACCTGGCTCATTGCGCTGAACATGGTATTAAATTCTTATTGCATCAAAAATCGAAGACCTAACCAGAAACACACCAGTATAATCTTTTGTGCCGTTACCGTAAGAAACAAGGAATGACTGTTTCTCAAACAGAGGTGCCGCCCCAGAGACTCATACATAACCAGGCTAGGGTTCCGGGGTCCCGTATAATGCGGCCATTCTTGGCTATTCAGACTTTTACATTGTACACTGGCCCCTGACCCCTTCTCCTACAGTAATTAGTCCCCATAACATAACCCATACCTGTACCCCTAATTACACCTTGTGCCCCAAATCCTAAATTACAGGCTCTGCACCGCCCAACCTCAAAACCTAAACCCTGAACCCTAACAAATGATAAGTAGGTGCATCCGACCGGCCTCGTGAAGCCGGACGATGCGGACGCCAAGATCAAGTTCCTGGCCGCCGAGGCTGGGAAACGACTGGTGTCAACTCAGGCCTCAGGGAGAATAGTAAGACTTGTATTCATAGAAGTGTGAAAGTACGATATGCTGTAAGAATAGTACTTAGAACAGTAGGATGCATAGTGAGAATTGACATAGGAACCGCAATAACTGGGAGATTTTTAATAAGTAGGTTATAAACAGGGTTACAAGTCCCTGACTTGAGGTTGGCTTGTACTTTCCTAGGTCCCCTGAGCCACGAAGCATCGTCCACATCAGGAGCTGTGGTTTGGCGCTTGAGGTTGGGGCTTGGGGTGTGGCGTGCAGAGCTTGGAGTCTAGGCTTTGGGGTGGAGGTGGTTGTACGGGTTTCTTCTTTGGTCCACGTCAGCGGCAGTTGCGAAGCAGCTGTCAGGGAGCTACAAATAGGATACCCAAGCGGTAGGGCAGGCATAGGTGATTTGCCGCAGTTTCGCTTGGTGTTTGCCTGAAGAGGTACTTTCCCTAAATAAGGGGAACCCAAATATAGACCCCAAAATACTATAGTCCTTATTATGGGGACCCCCAAAAAGGTACCCCTAATTTTGGGAAACCCCCAAGAAGTTTAGGCGAGCTGCCAGCAATCGAAAGCTGGCCGACCGTGCAGGTTGGCCTCTTCCCCTAATGGTCCATGTACCCAACAATTGGGTACTTAGGATTGGGGAATAGTAATTGTAGTACAGGTTTTGGATAGGTTTATTAGGTACTTGGACCCTTAGGGTTCATGGACTGTGTCTCAAGCCTCGAACATGGAAGCACAAGCCGGATGCCTTGAAAGCTCGGGAACCTCTAGCCGCTAGCCCATATGCTGATCGGCTCAACTCCCTTAAACCCGAAAGTCCTTTACCCTAAGCCCTAAATCCCAAAAACATTGAAGCGCGAACCTACTCCCCATATCCTAAACCTGAATGCCGACCGAGCCCCGCTCCAGAAAGCCTCAAACAGGCATTGCGAGGTGTGGGTGGAATCATCCTCAACGCATCCTGGCAGAAAGTACCGATGTAGCCTGTTCTACGGGGAAGCTTTGATGATTTGTTTTCGGATGTGTGGCCTGGGAATTCTTGTCCAGAAGAGGGCCACCCTCATACGGAGGTCGCGTAGGCGCATTGTGGGTTTTCACTGTTACAGGGACGATGGTACAGGCTCATTTGTTTTCGCTCTTGGTGCAATTTGCCTTGCATGCCGGTTTGTCGATAGGTTCCAGTTGTGGTTTCAAAGCCTTCCTATTGTTCATGAGAAAGAGACATACAGCATTGTGGATGCTCAGACCAGCACGGGGGGAAGTTAGGACCCTGCTATAGGCATATGATATAGTCATAGGGTCCTAGTGTTGGTTCTTGGGGTTACCACAATGCCCTCATCTGGCAACATGCCCTACAAAGCCTCCCGTTCTCGTCCAGGTCCACAACATCCCAAGAACCCCTGCACATCCAACTTCAACACCTGCCCAAACTAGGGATACAACATCCTTCTCCCTCAACCCTAAACCCATAGAACCTAAACCCCCAAACCCCTAAAGCCTAAAACCCAAACCCTAACCCCTAAACCTCAAGCTCAACTCTGATCCCTTTAGCAATCCCCTAGTCTGTCGACTACCCTTAGAAGGGTTTAGGGCACGCCCCTACCCTTTCTGGCCCTTGGTTAGCTGGGAATGAAGGTTCTGAAAAGACTACCATGGGTCTCATAGGGACTACTACAAGGATCCATTCCTTCATTCCTAGCTAACCCCCCACATTCTTGAACTTACAAGGCATACGCCTCACAAAATTATCTTGTCCGTTCTTCTCCACCCAGGCGGAGGGCAATCGCTTCTGCAACGAGCTGGGGCGCCCCTGGGGCTCGCAAAGATTATCTGGTCCTGGGTGAAATGGTAATTTCCCAAAATAAGGGGACCCCAATATGGACGACTATGGTCCTTACTTATAGGAACCCCCAAAAAGGTACTCCTAATTTTGGGAAACCCCCTAAATATTTTTGTATGTTCCAAGCAGATAGACAAGACAGCTATAATTCTTCACAGTGTGCCAAGAAGGCACCAGTCGCTGGGTTTCAGTCCGCGGGTCGAGTGACAACGACTTAGGACTTGGGGTTTAGGGGGCAAGGGTTAGGGGATGCGGGTTGGGCACAGTGATCCAGGCCGGGGTTTATGGTTCAAACTTCAAACTGACCTCGAAATGAGCCTAAGAAGCAGCGAGCCGTGCAATAGAAGATCAGGGCAGACTGTAGAACGGAGCCATTTGCGCCAGTAGATCAGAAAATACGTGAGTAGCTGTTCAGAGATCTGGCGCGGACAGATATTGAGAAGTAGGGACCAGAGTTGGTCCATTACACGGAGTCAAACACGAAACCCTAAATTCAGCACAACGAAAACTTTGTTCCCTTGTGTTATGTGGGCTTTTCTGTTGTTTGGATCATCAGGTTCTCCATGGCTACTTGGGTTTGCATCGGATTGGTACGAGTTTCAGTTCCAGCAAGGCACACAGTAACAGCAGAAAGCTTCAAGCTTCGTAGCAGCTTCGGTCTTCCTGTTGTATCTAAGTAGCCAGTAGAGAGAATCTCCGAAACATGGGGAACCCTAAACCCATGATCTGCGTGACATTTCCGATTTCCGCGTGTCAACTAAAGCAGATGACTGTGCAACTTCATTGCTCATGACAGCAAACCCTGTCTTGTCTTTACTTTACAGGGTTTAATGGGGAATGAGGGACATTTGATAAATAGTGACTACAACGTGGGACTATATAGGGCCTACTATACCGTCCATTCCTCCGTTCCACCTCTAAATACAAGTAAATTGTTGTAGTAGTGGCCGTCCGAATAAGTGCACAGTGCAGACGCTCCACCCAAACAAAATGAGATTCTTCCGTTTTGCTGAGCTGGCGCGTGGTTTCACACGGGAAGCACGAAAGCCACACCTCCGAAATAGTTAGAGTAATGATACCATTAATAAGAGTAGTACCTATAGTAGTTAGTAGTAGTAAGGACAATAGCAGTAACCATAGTCTGAAAAACTTGGAGCTTCTGGTTTTGGTGATCAAGGACGCGACTACGTGACTGGCGAGATGTGGAAGAGCAAGCCACCCTTCAGGCTGTCTTGGTGTTTAGGCTTCGGCTTCGTTTTTGGGGCTTTAGGGCTTTGGCTTCAACATCTGCGCTTCAGTCTCCCTTGAGGTGGCTCAAGTTTTTGAAACGATAATGGACCAGCCAAGCTTGCCTGGTCTTTTTTTCGCTTTACCTCCCTCCAGCTGGGATTATGTATGAGTTTTGTGCGCGTGTTCTTGGTAGGGGAAAGCTGAAGTTATAACCAGGTAGCATTTTGTAGCTCTTATAACTACAATTGCATACATATGACTAGTGTTTGGTAATATGCCTCCCCGTTATCTCTGGATGCTTTGGGTTTGGTCTTCGCCCCTGACTTGTGTTTCAATATATGTCCTCCATGCGATTCGTCAGTCTCTGGGCGTGAAAGAATCAGGTTGTGGTAGCTTGAACGCCCGGGGTCTTTTCCCAGAAGGTTGGAAAACCCGTCGCAAGTTTGCGCTCACGGATGAAAGACAATTTGTTTTGTGAGGGCGTAGTTGCGGGAAGGACATGTACACTTTGAGACTTAGAGACCATTCCCAACACTCGGCATTCGGAGCATGTCATGCTTGATCCTGGAATCCAAGGTGCCCTTCGACAGTCTTACTATTGAAGACGATGCTTAGGTGGCAACGTTGCAGGTTCTTCGAGGGACTTCGTCATTGCATATGGTGTTTGTATCCCTTGAAACCTTCAGTGACTCAAGCGGACCTCTTTGAGAAATGCGCACACAGCGTTTGCCATGCCAGGCTGTGCTTGAACAAGGCTGCATCCGATGAGATCATCTGGCACTGCAAGCATGGTGCTAAGAAGCAGATACTGGTGAGTGTATATACTTGGTTCAAGAATCGGGGGACCATAAATTCCAGGGAAAACGCTTTGGAAAGGCAGAATCTATTGAAACCCTACACCCGCAACATTAACATCCGGCCATAGTCAGTGCAGCAGAACAGGAGGGCTTGGTGTCATGACACAGAAAGGTGGTCTCAGTGTGGTGCCTGGGATAAGATGGGCATTCTACGTGTTCGCAATGGGCTTGTGGCGCTGAGTTTTTGACAAGATTTCTGGGTTGCTGTTAAGGAACTTAAATCAAGTTACTATATTGGGGAAACCTTATGATTTACCATATATACCCATTATGGTAACTTAATTTAAGTTCCTTAACAGCAACCCAGATTTTTGCAATTTGTCGGAGTCAGTCTAGTGGAGTGGGATTCGGGCGGCTACTTACCAGCAAGGCGCAAGAGACACTCAATTCTGGAAACTTCGGTGTTGAAACGGACTTTCGTAGCTGGGGTCCCCTGTCTTTGCACTTCCTGCCCCCTGGCTGGGCTTAGCATGGCCTGGCAGCCAGCAAGCAAGTGCAGTATCTGAGGCACTACACCGGACGTGGTGTGCGAAGCCCAGGGCGTCGGGGTTTGCGAATCTACTGGTTCTTTCTTCGAATTTGGAAAGCAGCACAGCATACTTGAGTATTTGAGGGGCAGGATGACGGGGTCAATATTTATGAATGGATAATGGAAAAGAAAATGGAAACTACTATATTATAATAGGGTATGTATATATATATATACATATAGGGGTAATGTTGGGGTTATATAGGGAGAATGGAAAAGAAAATGGAAACTACCCTGTTTCTGAGTACTATCATGTGTCCGGTGCAAATCAGTGACGCCCTTGTTCGAGAGGGTCCCTGGAGACAAGGTCACAGCAGCATCTCTGATTTGACAACTGGCAAAGAATAAGGGGGTTTAATTGAGGCTCCTGTTATTTTGTGACGTCACAACCTGAATGGTGAACCATAATAGCGGGCATTTTATGCCAAACTGTTGGTCAAAGAGGCAGGGCATGTCATTCTGAACAGATGCTGTAAACCAGATTCCACGTAAACTTCAGGGCGTTGAATTGCCTGAGCACGGCTGAAACACTTGGTATTCCCCGTATTTAAGTTACTATATGGGGAAACCCTATATATCCCCTATATTACTCCTTGAAGCAGGGTTGTTAAATTAAGTTACTATATTGGGGAAACCATATTACGTAGTTATTATCTGTACACATTATGGCAACTTAACCTAAGTTCCTTAACAGCAACCGGGAAACCTAGGCAGGCCTGTACTTGAAAAAACATATTCTGGTTTGCTGTTAAGGAGCTTAACCTAAGTTGCCATAATGGGATACATAGTAGTTAATAGTGTTTCCCCAAGATAGTAATTTAAATTGACTTCCGTAAACACAACCCAGTATTTCTTGGAAGCAAGCGATGAGTTGACAGAGTGGTGGCTATTGAATATGTCAGCAAAGGGCCTGGGCTATCTCACAACGTAGTATAACGGGGATGACCCTTGGCAGTAATTAATCCCTTCCAGGCACGCAACCCCCTGATACTAGAAGTGTCTCTTTCCAACATCTGATAAATTCAGGCAAGATATTCGACATTATTCGACATTAGGCTGTTGCGCGGCGGGGAGGATTGTGAATTTTCGAAGCCCAGGTCATGAAGTACTACTCAAGCGGTGAGGACCTGCCGAAAATGCGGGGTATGGCTCAGAATTTTCAGTTGAGGTCAGGGGGAGGATAGAAGAATCGGTGCAGCAATCCAGAGCTAGGCACCTGCACTCTTCAAAATTATTTGTATTGGGTTCCAGAATATGGTAGAAGAAAGGCCACAGTCCCTGGTAGGGTATTCAGATCACCCAAGAGGGAACCCAGCTGCATTTTCCTCATCGTGCTTGCGGGTGATGTGACAGAGGGATCCCAACAAATGTCTTGAAGAGGCCTGCGCACTTGCACTGGAAGTCTCCTAAAGCGGATCCATGTGCAGGATCTTGCCAAGGACATGGGGGTGCCTCTCTCCGTCATTGAGAAGGCCCACGAGGAGCACTTCCAGGCGGCAAAGAAGACGGAGACGGACCCTGACGGCGGCCCATTCCCCGCCTACCCGTCCGGCAAGTGCTGGGACGAGGCCCGAGCTAGGGAGGGAATATCTAGATCTCTTACAACTTATAACGGTTTCATTTAGAATTTCTGTTGAGTTCGATTGTCACTGGACTGCCAG